TGAGCATAGGAGAGTGAGGGAACACAGAATGGTTCTTAACACCTCACCCAGAACTGGCACAATCGCCTATCTGCTCACATTTCTCTGGTCAAAGAAATTTTTATGACCTAAAATCAATGCAGGAAGTTTGATGTCTTTAACAACTGGGCGCTAAATGTTGATAATACTTCTGCTGTAGTCTGAATGTTTGGGTTACCCCAAAATCTGTATGTGGAAATCCTGACTTCCACAAGGTGGTAGTATTAGAAGATAGGAGGTGATTAGGGATCTACCATAATGAATGGGATCGTGCTCTTATAAAAGAGGCCTTACAGAGGCTCCTCACCCTTCTACCATGTGAGGTGACAATGAGAAGCTGTACATCCATGAGAAATGGGACCTCACCAGACATTACATTTGGTAGTGCCTTGACCTTGGACTTCCCAGCCCCCAGAAGTGAGGAAAATAAATTTTTGTAGTTTACAAGCCACTCTACAGTATTTTGTTATAGCAGCCTGAAGAGACTGAGACAATCTCCCATGCTCTGTGAAAACTCCAAACTGTTCCTTGGTCCTGAATCTCTACCCTCACCCACATTGAGAGCCCTTCTCTGTGCCTGGCACACAAGAGGCATAGAATGAATATTTGGTGAAAAATTAACTTTGCCAAATTGCCCTCCAAGAAATGTTGTAAAACTTTACTGACTAGGGAATGCTACTGGCATTTGTTTAATGTCCTTTAAACATAATTATTTTTTCCATACAAAATGATACCATATTTTAACCTTTTAGAATAAGGCTGAGTTTTTTATTTCAGACAACTAGTGACAATTTCTTTTAGAAATTCTCTATTCAAGTCTTATGCTCATTTTTCTATTAAATTTTTCTTCCTCATTTGGAAGAATTCTTGTCATAGGTAACAAATATTTTTCCAGTTTGCCTTTTAAATGTTATAATAATTTTTTGGCAGGCAGACATTGTTAACATTTATATAGCCTCATCTCTCACTGTTTTTGTTCATGGCCTGCTGAAGCACACATTTTCACTGCATCAAATGGACAGACTATATTGTACTTAACCAATCCCTTATTATGGGCTATTTACTAAGTTTATAGGTTTTTTTTTCTTATCAGTAACATTGTGATGAAGATCTTATATAAACCCTAAAAGTAGAAGTATCGTATCAAAGGATATTTTTTAAGTTCTTAATATTACTATTGAAATTTTGCGGCCAGGCGCGGTGGCTCAAGCCTGTAATCCCAGCACTTTGGGAGGCCAAGACGGGTGGATCACGAAGTCAGGAGATCGAGACCATCCTGGCTAACCCAGTGAAACCCTGTCTCTACTAAAAAAAATACAAAAAACTAGCTGGGCGAGGTGGCGGGCGCCTGTAGTCCCAGCTACTCGGGAGGCTGAGGCAGGAGAATGGCGTGAACCCGGGAGGCGGAGCTTGCAGTGAGCTGAGATCCGGCCACTGCACTCCAGCCTGGGTGACAAGGTGAGACTCCGTCTCAAAAAAAAAAAAAAAAAGAAATTTTGCTTCCTAGACCCTATACCTCAGTTCCCCCAAACCCCAGGACTCACATCCCAGACACCCCTTCATCCCAAGACCCACATCCCAGATCCTCACACCCCAGGCCCTGCTGCTGAAATCCTTACTGGTCAGCCTTGTGCTGAAACAAGCAAGGAGAGGACTGACGGCAGGACTGAAAGGGCAATGGGAAGCTGTCCAGAATACCTCAGATGCTCCTCCTGCCAGCAATGCTTTCCCCTGAGGTCATCCTATGGCACTCTTCTGGGATTTAGGTCTCCTCTCAAATGGCACTGCAAAGCCTAATCCTGGCCCCTTCATCTAAAAGTGACTCTGACTCTAGCTATTCTTTACTGCATGACACTGTTTGTTGTGGTTGTTGTTGTTGTTGTCGTTGTTTGTTTGTTTTAATTGTAGAGACAGGTTTTTGCCATGTTTCCCAGGCTGGTCTCGAACTTCCTGGGTTCGAGCAATCTGCCTGCCTCAGCCTCCCAAATTGCTGGGATTACAGGTGTGAGCCACCACACCCAAACTACACTGGTTTTCCCCCCTTTAATAGCACCTATTTCTACCTGATGTTCTCTTATTAATTACATGTTTAATTTCTGTCTGTAATTATCTTGTTTGGTGTGTTGACTGCAGTATCTCCAGCACCAGGAACAGTTTCTGGCATAGAGAAACTCTTCTCAAATTGACCGCTCATTGGAATCACCTGTGAAGGTTTGACAGTTCCCATTACCCACCCCCCACCACAGGAAAGAATTGTTTAGTTATTAACTTTACCAAAAAATGGAAAGATTATTTTTCTCCAGGAGATAGAGAATGTAGCAGATATTCTCAAGCATGTTTATTTACTACTGTGTAGTTGGGCCCTTGTTGAATCCTTTTTAATGTAGCTAATAGAGTGTGGTTGTACAAACTATGGAAGTTATTGAAAATCTTTGATAAAACTCTCATTTTGGGGGGAAAAATGTATTGGAAGAACTCATCCAAGTGTGTGTGTGCACACGCTGTGTTTTTCTAACCTTCAGTCCAGAAGTAGAAGGGGTTTAAATCTGCTTGCACTGTCTGTGCCTCCATTATTTTACTGTAGAAATGTGAAATGCTAAATATAGGATGGTGCATTATACAATTGTACTGCCTGAGAATAGACCAGCATGCCATTAAGAATTTTTAGGAAGAACTCATTTAACCTAAGAGCTCTTTGTTTATGGATTTCGAATTTTGTATACCACTGTGATCTGTAAAGACACAAACCCATCATGAAGTCACTATTCACTACTGTGTTGTATATAAAACAATATGTTCCAAGGCAAAAAATTCAATATTCATGCCTCTCCCTAGCCCAATTAAATCAGAATTGCTAAGGGTGGAATCCAGGTGATTCCAATGTGCAGCCAAGTTTGAGAGCTACTGATGTAGAAGAAACTCAGCAATATTTGTTGGATGGATGGATGGATGGATGGATGGATGGATGGATGGATGGATGGATGGATGGATGGTTGGTTGGATGGATAAGCAAAAGAACATGGGGAATGAGAAATTTGGGGCTCTGGTTCCAGCACTCCCTCTATTGTGCTGTGTGACCCACTTTACTGAACACCCATTGTTGCACTACATGTAGAAGGAATGAGAGAAGCCTGGAGACAGAATAATTGAGGTTTTATAGAAGACTTCCTCCAGAACAAAGCTAAGCCTAACAGGAAGCTCTTTACTATGTGTATTAGGCCATTCTCACATTGCTATAAAGAAATACCTGAGACTGGGTAATTTATAAAGAAGAGGTTTAATTAACTCGCAGTTCTACAGACTTTACAGAAAGCATGGCACCAGCATCTGCTTGGCCTCTGGGGAGGCTTTAGGAAGCTTAAACGGGCTTTAGGAAGGTGAAAGGAGAGCAGGCACATCACATGGTGAAAGCAGGAGCTAGAGAGAGGGGGTAAGGTGCCACACTTTTAAACAGCCAGATCTCATGATGAGTGACTCAGTATCACGAAGACAGCACCAAGGGGTTGGTGCTAAACCGTTCACGAGAAGTCCACCCCAATGATCCAATCACCTCCCACCAGGCCCCACCTCCAACACTGGGGATTACATTTTGACATGAGATCTGGGTGGGGCAAATATCCAAACTATATCACTATGGTATCTCTTTACCCAGGAACTGGAAAGTATTTGTGAGGCTCCAAAGAATCTTGCAATTAGAAGAACATCACACGACTCTGTACTCGGTGTACAGAAGAGAGACAGAATAACTGATTTCTAGTCCTCAGATATCACACTAGGGAGACACAATCTGTGAGGCTACCTGGAGTGAAGGGAAAGGGAGAGAGATGGATTTATCTGAGTGATTCCTCACAAGCCTCCTTCTCTGCATTGGCTGTTAAAGGTCTTCAAGACTGTGAGGGTTTCTGCCCTCAAATATGGGCTACTCAAACTTTCTTTTTCTTTTTGCTTAAGAGACAGTGTCTTTCTGTATTGCCCAGGCTGAAGTGCAGTGGCTATTCATGGTCATGATCCCACTACTGATCAGCACAGAAGTTTTAACCTGCTCTGTTTCTGACCTGGGCCAGTTCACCACTCCTTAGGCAACCTTGCTCTCTGGAGGTCACTGTATTGATGCCAGACTTAGTGCAGATATCTGACTGGCATAGCTTACTAAAGCCCAGAACTCTGGAACTCAAGCGATTTTCCTGCGTCAGCCTCCCAAGTTGCTGGGGCTACAAGCAGGTGCCACCTAGCCCTGTTCAAACTTTCTTGACTGATATCATGGCTGTTTTGCTGAGATCTTTTTTTTTTTTTTTTTTGTAAGCATGCCCCATGCCCCTCAACTCTGTTACTGTCACCCTATACCTATCGTAACAACATAGGACAGTTTCTTTTCTTTCTTTTTTTTGAGACGGAGTTTCGCTCTTGTTGCCCAGGCTGGAGTGCAGTGGCACAATCTCAGCTCACCGCAACCTCCGCCCCCCAGGTTCAAGTGATTCTCTTGCCTCAGCCTCCCGAGTAGCTGGGATTACAGGCATGTACCACCACGCCCAGCTAATTTTGTATTTTTAGCAGAGACAGCATTTCTCCATGTTGGTCAGGCTGGTCTCGAACTCCCAACCTCAGGTGATCCGCCCGCCTCGGCCTTTCAAAGTGCTGGGATTACAGGCATGAGCCACCACACTTGGGAAGGACAGTTTTTTATTGAGGAAATTAGCTACTCGTCCTTATTTAAAACATTGCAGAAGTATTATAACAGGAAACTCAGGGTGTGGCCTGAGTCCTGTTATTCTCCAGGCCCTTGTCTCCAGGCTGCTATTATATACAGCTGTTTAGGCTTGCCTGCTATATGAGATCTTACTACCTGTTCCTAGGCATCAGTACCTGTCTGGTCACTCAACAGTGGCCACAAATGATTGTCACTCTCCATGCCCCATCAACCTATACCATTTCAGTGAAGGACAGTTTTAAAACTACAAAAACAACACATTTGGGAAGTTATGAGAGTAGAATTGAGGTTTATTGGCTTTACAAAGCATAAGAGCAAGATATACCACACAGGAGGGTTCCCATCTCAATACCTTAACTTGCATATTCACATTATTCAAATTATTGGGGACCAGGGGTTGGGGATGGTGCACAGTTTTGAGTAATATTTGCTAGTTATATTTAAGAACAAAATGGCGTCCTTAGGGCACTTCCAACTACTTGTGAGCTCTGGCTCCAGACAAACCGCTGTCTATCAGGATAAACTCCAGGAGGAGTACAAAAGGTGCAAAAATAAAATAAAATAAAATAAAAATAAAACAGAAAACATCACTGCATATATACATACACACACACATATATATACATATACACACATATATACACACATACATATATATAATTTTTAGACAGGGTCTGCTCTAGGCTGGAGTGCAGTGGTGTTATCATAGCTCATTGCAACCTCAACCTTCCTGGCTCAAGCAATTCTCCCACCTCAGCCTCCTACCGGCTAGCTGGGACCACTGGCACCGGGCTAATTTTCTTTTTTTTTTTTTTTTTTTTTTGTAGAGATGGAGGTCTCACTATGTTGCCCAGGTTGGTCTCCAACTCCTGGGTTCAAGTGATCCTCCTGCCTCGACCGCCAAAGTGCTGGGATTACACGCATGTGTCACCGCGCCTGCCTACTCTTTTAAAGATGCTAGGGATGCAAAGAAGGGAAGAAAGCAAACACAAAACCTTTTTGATCTCAAGGAGCTAAGTGTCTGACACTTCCCATCCCACACACATATACAGAGGGAAGGATCTCTTCTACAGCAAAAGTTTTCACGGAAGTCATCTCTTTACTCATCGCTTAAAAGAAACAAAAAGCCAAGAGCCGTTTTGGAGCGGGTGTGGGGGCCTGCGACCTCTTGTCTAGTTGCCATCCTCCGGGACTGACAAGGGGTACACCAAATAAGGGACGCGGCGGCTAAAATGACGTGAACACAGGAGTCCGCAGTCTCTGATTTGTCATTCCTCCAGGAAGACCCAGAAACCGTGAATGGGGCGGGGTGGTGGGCAATATCTAAAGCGAGGTTTCCTGGGATCGCGATGCCACTGGCCAGGACGCTGGAGAGGGCAGCCGGCATGAAGAATTCCTTCTCAAGGGGTCCGTTCCTGGGATGTATATGGAGAAATCTGTCCAAGCGTGCGTTTCTAAGGGCTAGAGCTGGGCATGCATTCAGAATCCTCAAGCTCATGTGTACTTGGACTCTGACCCTGAAGCGAGGGAGTTTCCGAAGTCTGATTCACGGAGGAGACAGGACCCACTTGGGGTATCCGATGCCAGCGAGATGGGAAGGGAGCCGAAATGCAAAATGTCCTCAAGATGCAGGAGGAGCACCTCTCAAGCAGCGCCTGGGAGAAAACTTCAGAGAATCGGCGCGAAGATCCAGCACAACCCTAGAACCCGCAGCCCAGCCCACTGCTCCCCGGGCTGTTGTGGCGCAGGCGCAGTGGCGCCGCGCTCAGGCCCCAGCGCGCATGCTCTGCCCGGCTGCGGCGCTCACGGCCAGCGGCAGCAGCAGCGGCGGCGGCGGTGGCGGTGGCGGAGGAAGTTTCCGCTTTGCACTTACCCCGGTAGCAGCTCCGCGACAGGGACAGCTTCCTCCGGACGCTTGGCGGGCTTCGCTCTCGCCTTACGACAGCCCGGTCGGATCATGGGGTTGCCCAAGGGGCCGGAGGGCCAGGGTCTCCCGGAGGTAAGAACGCCTCCTCCTTCCCTGACACGTCGGGGTTCCTGCTAAGAGAGGGCCAAGCCGCGGGGCGGCTGACTGAGCGGGCCCTGGGTACGATAGGGGCGCCCCGCCCCCTTCCTCAGGTGTATCCACCTCGGGGAAGCGCCGACCCTCTTCTTGGAGGCGGGGAGCGGGTGCCCCTGCATGGGCAGGGAGCAGCGGGCGGGTAGGGACAAACTTAAGCCGCTCCCGGGTCTCTTGGGGCGGAGGTGGCCTTCCTAGCCCGACACCTGCCCTGACGCAGCCCCACGCGCTGGGGGGCCCTGGGCTCCCACCTTTCCGCCTGTCCGGGACAGGCTCCCCAACCACAAACTGCAGGGCTAGCCCAGGCTGCTGGGCGCTGGAGTCACGAGACCGCTCTCCGAGGCGGTCCGGGCTCGGGTGGTGCGAAGGGCGGTGACCTTGGGACGCCTACCGCCACCCCGCAGGGTCCCGGCGGCCAGCCCCACCCGCCTTGCTGTCGGGAGGGAATGCTACCCTCCTTGAATTGACCCGGACCGGGGCGGCGGGAGGAAGTTTGGGAGACTTGCGCGCACCAGGGAGGTGTCCCGCTGGGTCAGCGCGCCTGGGCGTTCGGGGTGGGACGCATGCCTGGGGTGCTGTGTTGGGGGGGACCGAGCTCTGGGCGGAAACATTGCAGCTTCTCCAGAAGAGGGCGGGGTTCTTTTCCAGAGGTGTTTGTTGAGTACTCACTTAGTGCTAGGGAGAGAGTCAGGAGTGGTTTGCGGATTTCCACGTTTGCTGGGAATACAGGGAAAGTGTCTTCATTTTCTTTTGGCTACAAATATCACTTAGCATCTCATAGGTAGTTTGCATCTGTCGTCCCTCTCAGTTGATTTTACTCAAAGGCTAGTCTAGTTTACTGGATTCTGGAGAGAAATGGAATCCACGCCGCACCTCTGCCTTTTTCCTAAGGTTCTGGAGCAGGCATTGGGCAGAGTGACTGTTTGCTTGACCTGGTGAGTCTGATCCCTTCACGCTTACCTGCCTGTGACCAATCTTCCTCCTCTGTACTCCTCCCAAATCCTCAGTTCTTTCTTATCACAAGTATCCACTAATTGAGGGATCACTGTGTTCTGTGTCCAGAAGCTGGGAATATAGTGATGAAAGGACAGATTTGTCTGTCAGTGTGTGCTCCCAGAATGCAAGTCCATTTTGTTGTCTTAAGAAAACCTAACAAGCATGATGTTGTCAGAACCCCTGTATTAGGTAAAACCTTACATGCACGTTGCTTTGATGGGACCCAGGATAATGAACAATAGGATTTGTACTGCGACATTTGCAGTTTTCTTTTTTGCCACTTCTTTATTGTAGGCTCTCATCAAGTTTTTGCCTGGCCTTTTGTTGTTGACTCCTATGTGGTCTCCCGCGTTCTACTTTAAATCCCTCCAGCCCAATGTTCCGCAGTACTATCAGTGGAGGTCTTTCTAGGGAAAAATGAATAAATAAATAAAAAGCAACCTGCCGCTGTATGTCCTTCGTTTAAACTTTCACTGACTGCTAGGAGGCCAGGTCTGATTCATCATTGTTTTCCAAGACCCTGACACAGTTCCGGGCAATTAAGAGGTCAGGGTGAATATAATCAAATTATTATCATACAGTTCAGAAGCTAGTCAATATAAATATGGATAGTCTGTGTTATTAGGCTGTCACTAGACCAGTTAATTCATTAACTTCGTTCTTTTTTTATTTTTTTTGAGGCAGAGCCTCACTCTGTCACTGAGGCTGGAGTGCAATGGCGTGAGCTCGGTTCATTGCAACCTCTGTCTCCCAGGTTCAAGCAATGCTTGTGCCTCAGCCTCCCCAGTAGCTGGGATTACAGATGTGAGCCACTGCCCGGCTCAAATTCATTCTTTTTAACCCTTTACAAAGATAGCTAGACTGGGCCCTGCCTTCCAGCTTACAACAACTATAGGGGACGGAAATTGAAAATTTATTGGGCTTGGTGTAAGAGCTCATTGTTGTTCATGTTTGTGAGAAATTTAGTTTTAACAACTGGATGTATTAACCAGCCTGGTGGATTTTTATTGCTTCAAGAGAGGGTCTTTCATTCCCTGCGGGATCAGGCAATGGCTCTTTCCCATTTCATTTCAGTGTTAATCTGTTAAGTGAATTTGGAGTCATACATTCCCATTTAGTGTTTCATGCCACAATTACTTCACAAATTATATTGCAAAAGTAAACTTCTCCATTCTAGGGGTGAGTGGATGGAAGCATGGGCCCTGCATCTGTAGTGGGGTGGCCAGTGGGTGCCCATTAGATAGGTGTTGAGGCAGTGATGATCCTATTTTTTTGTTTGTTTTTTATTTTTTTATCCTCTTCTTGTGTTTTCACAATAAATGATTGAACAAATGAAGTGTTCCTATTTTACACCCCGGAAATTTTAAGAAAGTACTTATATTATCTCTTTTTCTTTTTCTGCTCTGTCTTCTTGAACTACAACTACTATTTAGCTTCTCTTTTCTTAGAGTGTTTTCACTTGTAGATATTTCTCAACCATCCCAGATTTTTTGCAGAAGGGAGAGAAGGTGTGAATAATTTATATTACTTAAAATTTTTATGTCCACTAGGAACTAGTGAATGCTGATCTTCAGGATCCTTAATGGACTGGACCAGGGTCATTTCAGAGACGGATGTAGCTCAGTGATGTCACCTCCCCCACACCACTCCTACTCTATTGCAGGGGATTATCAGTCACTTTAATAATTCTGTATTAACTGTATTTTAATATGTATACTCCCTTTCCTGGCAGTGTATACATTAAAATAAACTTGTTTCCATTGTCAGGGATGTGACCACCAAAACATTTTATTAATGCATGACTAGTTTAGGTTCATTTACTTTTTGTAAGCATTAGTAGATCATTCTTTATTTAATAAATATGTCCTTTGAACTTAATGCTGTTTTGATACAGAGTAGTAAACACAAGTATATAATATATACTCCTGTCCTTAACCCATCAATAGTCCAGTTGGAAAGACAAGCATGTACATAACACTAGATATCTCACTTAGAAGATGTTGATACTTAGTTATATGTACAGCATAGACTATAAGTAAAGTAGAAATGCAGAAGGGAGTGGCCATTTCAGGACAGACTTGTGAGGGATGGCGTTGAATGGGAGCTGGAATTTGAAAGTGATTTCTCAATGATTAGAGAATATCATAGCCATGGCCATGTCTTGATTGTTTTCGGGGTAAAGGATGAACCTGAAAAGATAGCTTGGTGGCCAAAGATCTGAATGTGAAACCAGACATCTGGAGTTTATCTTACAGGCAGTGTGTGTGGTGCATTGTTGATAAGGGCTGGGAGGGTGAGCTAAAGAGGGATAACATGAAAGCTGTGATTGAGGAAGGGGTGAACAAAACAAAGGAAGAAAGATGAAGAAGCATTTGCAGGAGTCCTGGAATGAAGTATGAATAAAAGGGAAGGGAAGATAAATGTGAGATGCATAGTAAAGGAAGACTTAACAGGCGTTGTTGGGTAAGGGAGGACTCAGAGATGAGTATGAGCATGTGAACCAGGGTATCTTATTGGTGTTTTATATAGAGAGATGGTTTTTTATTTTCTGCAGCAATAGAAGAGAGGAAAGGTAGTTCATGATAATAAATAGATGAAAGAGTATTAGAATATTTAGATGGATTTCAGTATTAGATAAAGATCTGGGGTAAAAGGAGGATATAAATTAAAAATTTTCAATCAAAATACTGATATAGGGCCAGGCGCGATGGCTCATGCCTATAATCCCAGCACTTTGGGAGGCCGAGTCAGGCTGATCATGAGGTCAGAAGATCGAGACCATCCTGGCTAACTCGGTGAAACCTCATCTCTACTAAAAATACAAAAAAAAGAAAAAAAAAAAATTAGCCGGGTGTGATGGCACATGCCTGTAGCTCCAGCTACTCAGGAGGTTGAGGCAGGAGAATCACTTGAACCCAGGAGGCGGAGGTTCTGAGTGCAGTGAGCCGAGATCATGCCACTGCACTCCAACCAGGGCGAAAGAGCGAGACTCTGTCTCGAAAAACAAAAAACCAAAACAAAAAACAAAAACAAAATACTGATATACATATATTAGATGAATTTATTATTTTTAAGGCAATCCTATTATGTGACAATAATCACCCTTTAATATATCTCGGTTGGAAGCCTTTCATTTATTTGTTTTTGAGTTCAAAAAGGGAAGTACAGAGAGGGATACACGTTTGAATTCCCTTCTTCGTTTCTATGCCTCTTGTCAGTAACTTCCGGATGAGTATAATGTTTTTGTTTGTTTGTTTGTTTGTTTTTTGGAGGCAGAGTCTTGCTCTGTTGCCAAGGCTGGAGTACAATGGCACAATCTTGCCTTACTGCAACCCACACCTCCTGGGTTCAAGTGATTCTCGTGCCTCAGCCTCCCGAGTAGCTGGGGTTACAGGTGTGCACCACCATGCTCAGCTAATTTTTTGTATTTTTAGTAGAGGTGGGGTTTTGCCATGCTGGCCAGGCTGGTCTCAAACTCCTGACCTCAAGTGATTGGCCCCCCCTTGGCCTCCTAAATTGGTGGGATTAGAAGCATTAGCCACCATGCCCGGCTAAGTATAAAGTTTTTGAGATAGGGTCTTGCTTTGTCGCCCAGGCTGGAGTGCGGTGGTGCAATCTTGGCTCACTGCAACCTCTGCCTCTTGGGTTCAAGCAATTCTTGTGCCTCAGCCTCCTGAGTAGCTGAGACTGCAGGCATGGGCCACCAAACCTGGCTAAGTTTTGTATTTTCAGTAGAGATGGCGTTTTACCATGTTGGCCAGGCTGGTCTCGAACTCCTGATCTCAAGTGATCCATCCGCCTCAGCCTCCCAAAATACTGGGATTACAGGTGTGAGCCACCACGCCGGCCCTGAGTCCTAAGTGTAAAGTTTTTTTTAGAAAACATCATAAAACCTTGTTCCTGTGT